TTGTGTTCTTTTGAACGATTGTAACCCTACCAGCTGAGCTGCTGGTGGCTCAGTCGGTAGAGTGCTAGCCTAGACTATAGAGTGCTGATGGTGTCGAATCCACCTAGGCAGCTCTTCTGATGTTGGAGAGTTTTTCCTGGCTAGTAGTTCTGCATTCCCACCTTCCACCTTGTTGCTTGTCACATCTCACCGTCAATAGAGCGAGTTTTTTATCAGTGAGTCTTAACCAAAAGACAGTAGAGTTTCACATGCACTACAACAATCTTTACACGTGGATTTGTATAAACTAAAAGTACAAAACACTTTCGCTATGCACTTTGTTGCGTGTTTCAAACCATTACATGAATACATGAATACAGCGGCAGGTGCGCGTCTCACAATGGGGCTAGTGAACTAACGTTGCACCTGAACCACACACAAGATAAACAAACATAGGAGAAGTGGTTGAACACATTAGTGTGATGATCCAAAATGTACATCTCTGTGCAAATGCCCATAATGTCTTACAGGAGTATACTGTGTGGTGTATATACACACTACATACGTACTTAATAATGGCCATCTGTACAGGAAAGCGTTGTTTTGGACAACTTTCCATTCTACTCAACTCTGCTTACGGGAAAATCATTGGCGGAGCTTCCAGATGGATCTGACCTCTGACCCTGGAATAGTCCTCCTCTATAGAGTTACTAAGGTATCGTGGCTGCCAAACCTACTGTTGTTTACGCTGAAATATTGTGTTCTGTAGGTTTTTACTCAGCCTGGACTGATGGACTACATAATTATGGTAATTTTCTTAAGTGTCATTGTATGTGTAGGCAGTTATGCCCCGGTACATACATGTGTACACATGACAAGTTCCCAACAGCTTGTCGGCCATTAGGAACACATAATATTCACTCCAGTCCGGGGAACACTCGGCAGTTGACGCCTGTTCCCTGAAGGCCCTGTTCATGGAGTTGGATGGTCTCTCTTCACCTACCAGCCCTCCTCCTGGACAACAACACTCTCTCTGCTGTGAGGGGACCGCGTGTTTTTTTCATTCTCCAAGTGTACCACAGTGTCTGTACTTTGTGTGACGCAGAATTGCCAACATCTTTAATACTATATATACTCCAAAATATTCACTAAGATGTTACAACATGCATTAGTGACACAAGCTTAGTTTGATAGCATAGCAAATGTCCTGTTTTTTTTTAGGCCTTTTCCATGTTGGTTGAGTGGCTAACATGAATGTGCTTTGTACATGTTGTGGTATGAAGTCTGGCGGAACAATACACCAACTCTCCTTGTCACCTGTGCTACAACTATATGATAATACACCTGTCCAACGTTTTACTACATGTATGTGTAGCATCCCTCTAACACTGACTTCTACTGCTCTAGTTCAATTTTTGCTTGTGGAAAAGGTTCAGGATCTCGAGAATGTTTTCAAGTCGTTCAACTCGCTCTGAAACTTATTTCTCTCCCAGCAGCATCCCTCCCCCTCCTCCTCCTCCCCCCCTCACGCCCATCACTTCACTCCCACCTCCCCTGTCCTCAATCCTCCAACGGTTGCAGTCTCTTCTGGAGACAACTAGACCAACCTTATCACCTTGTTTGGAGTCAGTTTAATGTTTACACTGTGCTGTCTGCTAGTATATTAAACATCTGTACGTGCTACAATCACTTTTTCAACTCTAAGTGAAGTGTGGTGCTGTTTGGAGTCAGTATAACCCTCTTCTGTATGCATGTTTTTTTTTCACTGCGCATGCTATAATCACTTTTTGAATCACATGCTAGTTTACAATATACAGTGTATCCCTTTGTGTAGTCTTAAGTGAAGTAATGGTGTGCTGTCACCCCCTTTACCCTCTTCCTCTCTCATCTCTCTCCCTATCCTTCCCTCTCTCCCTCCTTCTCCACCGCTCCACCCCTCCCCTCAGATTTCATCCCCTCCGAAGCTGTCACCAACTGACTCCAGTCCCCAGTGGCACCAGACCACACCCCCTTCCCTCTCTCCTCTCAGACTTGCCTACTCTACTACTGCTGCTGCTGGCCACACCCCTTTTTCAGAAGCCCCAAAGTCATTAGAACCTGAGTATGTGAGGGGTACAGCACAATTAACCCCCAGAGGAAAGATGCAGGTGTGTTTTTTGCTTTTATCATTCGTTGTGTGCATCATAGCATGCTTGCATGTGCATGTAAGGATGACTTTAAGACAGATGCTATTTAAGGGTCACCCCCTCCACTTCATTAATGATTTATTAACCCTCGGCACGCATGCGCAGCGAGGGTTACTGTAGTTGTCGTGTCATTCTGTCAGTTAAGTGAGAACTCACTTCTCCAGTCATAGATCGCGTCCAAAACGGGTTTACATACCCAGCGGCCGACGGAGGTCAGAAAATATGTGGGATTTTCTCTGAAACTGCTTTCGTTGCAGAGCTAGAGCATTTTCCTGTTCGTACGGTACGGCAAGGGCGGGCCATTTTAACAACGCGCATGTGCGTATACACCAAAACGCACACGACTCAGAGGCGGCAGCAGGCGGCCAAAGCGGCGCACGCTGATTGGGACCACGTGGCCAGCAGCCATTTTGTTTTCCCTCATTTCTCTGTAAGACTAGACTGAGAAGACGGTTGAGTTCAGTAAGTATGCCTCCAACTAAGGCGTTTGAATTGTAGCTCACTAGGTTAGGCTTGGGAGGAAAGAATAATTTTATTTTATCTATGAACCGAAATACAAAGTACAACAATTCTACCAGACCTGGTGATACCATTGCCCCACTCATAATTGTGCGTGTGTGGTCACTGCGCCGAGGGTTTGCACTTCAGTGCCTTTCATAATGCTTGCACTTACTATGTACTACACAACCCCACTGTGATAAACAGCTTGAAGTTTACAGGTTACGGTTGAAGGTTACACACACATGGCTTGAGTTTTGATAGACCAGCTGGTTCCCAATCAGGGTTTGATTTAGATATTGACTCAAGGGATGGCAAAGTTTTGGTTTTTGCCAAGGGCCACTGTGATAAAGTTACAGGTTGAAGGTTACACACTCATGGCTTGAGTTTTGATAAACCAGCTGGTTCCCAATCAGGGTTTGATTTAGATATTGACTCAAGGGATGGCAAAGTTTTGGTTTTTGCCAAGGGCCACTGTGATAAAGTTACAGGTTGAAGGTTACACACTCATGGCTTGAGTTTTGATAAACCAGCTGGTTCCCAATCAGGGTTTGATTTAGATATTGACTCAAGGGATGGCAAAGTTTTGGTTTTTGCCAAGGGCCACTGTGATAAAGTTACAGGTTGAAGGTTACACACTCATGGCCTGAGTTTTGATAGACCAGCTGGTTCCCAATCAGGGTTTGATTTAGATATTGACTCAAGGGATGGCAAAGTTTTGGTTTTTGCCAAGGGTCACTGTGATAAAGTTACAGGTTGAAGGTTACACACTGGTGGCTTGAGTTTTGATAGACCAGCTGGTTCCCAATCAGGGTTTCATTTAGATATTGACTCAAGGGATGGCAAAGTTTTGGTTTTTGCCAAGGGCCACTGTGATAAAGTTACAGGTTGAAGGTTACACACTCATGGCTTGAGGTTTTATAGACCAGCTGGTTCCCAATCAGGGTTTCATTTAGATATTGACTCAAGGGATGGCCAAGTTTTGGTTTTTGCCAAGGGCCACTGTGATAAAGTTACAGGTTGAAGGTTACTCATGGCTTGAGTTTTGATAAACCAGCTGGTTCCCAATAGAAACTTCCCATTAGGGCTTCTTCCTCATTCCCAATAGAAACTTCCCACTGTCTACAACCAGCAGACCACCAATGCCATCTTGTTAACCCTCGGCGCGCATGCGCAGCGAGGGTTATAGTACTTGGTTTGTTCGTCTGTCTATCTGTCTGTCTGTCCGTCTGTTACCACGTTTTCTGCCACCACGCGCAACAAACAGGTAAAATAGCGACACCAACGGGTTCAGCGCTACACTGGCTTGATTTTTAAAATGGTGATTTTCGTAAAAGTGCCGCGTTCAGAAGTTATGGCATGAAAACCAAGTGAACAATCCAATATGCTAATTAGAACTAGCTTACCTCGACCTGATCTGCTTGCTCTGTGTACCTCGGAGGCACAAGAAGTCACAACGAAGGGCGTGTATCGACTCCCGCATGCTATCTACTACTGTAGCTAGCCCGTTTCAGACTCTCCGCGAGCTAAGCGGGAGTAAACGTATACTAGTATAATAGGCCCAGCCCATCAATTAGCGGTACCGCGCATGCGCAGTTCGCCGAGGGTTTGCACTTTAGTGCTTTTCATAATATAATAATTGTAATATAATATTTGTATATAATGCACACAAGTCTACATACCATGTGAGTCTCTACTCTGCTACAATATTTATGTATATGTGTAGCTGATCCAGGGATCCCGTAAGAGTTCCAACCTGAAAGTGCCGTACCTGGGAGACCCTCTCCTCCAGCCAGTCAGGTCATATGAGAACACCACTCTTGTCAGAGTTCTGCACAGCTGCTCCCTCTACCTGAACGAGCGGGTGAGGCTGTGAGAGTTTCCTATCTTCAGTCCTCTGTCGTTTGTGCTCCACTCTTTTCCCTCCCTAATCCACTTGTACAGTACATGTGCAGTTTTTTACATAGGGGAAGGTGTATGAGACTCTCCCCCTCCCCTTTCATATAGTTCAGGAACTATGCAGTATTGTAATAATATTATGATTGCGCACCTCAGACCCACCCTTTATTCTACACAGAGCCTTGCTGTGTATATACAACACACAGTTGGTTAGAACAGATACAGATAGTGTGTTTTGCGTATAGGTTTGATGATGGCAAGTATACTCTATGAGCATGCAGCATGTTTCTTCAGCGCAATGCCAGAATTCCCCATAAGGAAAGCAAAGTGGGTGTTGATTAGGGAGTGACTGGCCAATAACCCTATAATACGCCCTTGCTGGGTAACATAATTATGCCAAATATCAATAATATCTCATTCACTTTCATTGTTAATTGGCATAAACATGTTTGGCCTTGTACTTGTACTTGTCTGGTGTTATTTCCCCCCAGTTTGCCAGGCAGCTGCAATCTATTGGTGTCAGCAATAGTTTCTTGGGTCGTGTGGCTAAACAGTTTCTCTCTCCTCCTCTCTCTCCTCCCTTCACCCACTCACCCAGCACCAGGTATAGCTATACTTGTTACCATAATTCATGTATTGTGCCTCATACACCTCCACCTCCCTCTATAGCCCCACAGTTGCATAGGTTACTCACATTCCCACCACAATTTAGGGTTGAATTTGTACTAGTAAAACGCTCGGCGGTCATGTGCAGCGAGTACTCGGTCTGTGGTGTGTGTGTGTGTGTGTCTGTCTGTATGTTAACAGCTACTCTGGTCCTGATCCGCCTACTCTATGTGTAGTTAGAAGTTACAACAGATGGTGTGTATCAACTCCTGCATGCTATGTGCTTTTAATTCGAAGCCAAAACATTCATCCAAGTGTTTTTCTTGGAGGAAGAATAAGCTAGTTTTGGTCCTAAAACTGCTAGCTTCACTCATCCAAAATGTGTTGCTGTTATCTCAGGGCTTATTGTGTTCCTGGTAACTAACACCACGCAAATCTTCGCAGAAAAGTTTGCGAACAATGTAGCATAGCACACTACTTTATGTGAAAAACATTTTGTGTTTTCATAGGTACAGAAGGTAAATATGTACAGTCATGACATACACAGAGATGCACCTTGCCTATTCTCCAGCTTTCTCCCCTCACCTGGGAAATGGCATGTACCTTGAGTCTGCAATGATACTCTGGTACACCACAATAGGTTCACTCCCAAAATAATGTGTACTGGGGTCACACACAGTACATGTGCGTACACAAAGTGTGCACGTACAAGATGAAGAATGTACCTTCCTACAGCTGTCACCTGTCCTATATCAGGTAACAGTTCCTTTGTCTACTACTCATATTGAGGGGCTTCTCCCGTACCTCCAGTACTGTTGTATGTAAGGCTGACCACTCCCTTACCCCCAGAATTTCTGAGCCTATCAGGTCATCTTGGTATTGTGACCTCCCATCTGATAAGCAGCTGGCTGCTCTGGGATCCATGCCTCTGGCAGCCCAGCACACCGCCTATGTGGTTTTGTTGCCCACTGGATGAGAGATTATGTTTAAAAGGCAGTTTCTTCCGTGGTGCCCTGAGCTTCCACAACGATGGCACTTCCAACCTCCCACCTTGAGATCACAGTAATGCATCCACTTTCCCTATCACAGGTGACTGTGCCTTCATTGCTTATTATTTCCTAAAGGCCTCGTTGCTGTGCCTTCCAAAAATTGATCCTCTTTTTCAGAGGATAGCCAGATTTGGGCGAGATAGAGATAAGTGCAGTGAGATTGAAGATGTAACCATTCCATACTCCAACTGTAGGAAAAGTATCAAGAATGTCTATAATTTGGTTTGCTTTTTATCCACACTTGTTCCTACGAAAAATTCAAAGTTGTTGACACCCTTATTTCAGGGGATTGCGAATTTTAGTCGAGATGTTACCACTCCATACTCCAACTGTTGGAAATTGATTCCCCATGGACTACGATCCACCTTGTTGCCAGATGTATAATGTTTCGATATGGAGCACATTAACCCACATGATCATGAGTTCACATCCATTATGCTGCATGGCACAAGGACACATAATGCACTTGCACACAATGACACATCAGCAACCGTAATTAGCTACACTCTCCTTACTCTGAAATCCCTCCCTAAAAACATGCTCGCCCTCAAGTTTAAAACAACAGTTTACATTGTTACTCACATTTTCCAGGAGATTAATCTTATCTTACAGTGACATTTCTCATGCAGAACTCATAGTTACCTTAATACTCCCACATTTTGCTTGCATTTTTACAGCTACACATTGCGTACACACCTTGCACCCCACCTGTATATAGAAACATGCACTTTCTCCGTGTACCCGGAATTACACATACTTGCATCACCCTTCTGCGTTGTGCGTAATTCATCACCACATGGATTTGCTAAGTTATTACGCACGTGCAAGTCATTTAAGCTGTGACTCTCTCTCTCCCCATAGTAACATTCCTCGTACTCCAAAGAGCAAAGTCACGCGTGTCCTCACTACTCCTCACTCTCCCTCCCTTTCCACCGCCAGTCCTCGTTTCAACCTCCGCCCGCTGGCCTCGTACTATACCATCTCCTGTGTCAGTGTCGGTCTCTCCCTACTCTGGCTCCTACTACTGCCTCTATGGTTTATCCTGGTTATAATGCTGGTTCTTCTGGGTGCTGTACCCTGTGCATGTGGCAGGGGACCTCACAGAAAGACCATCTGATCTACACTGCTGAACTGGAAATACTGACTTTTTGTGCAATATGCCTTTCTTTTCACATTCCCATAGTATTGTACATTGTTATTATAGTAGCACAAACAAAACCAGACTTCAAAACCATGTGTAAAGGAATACCTTTTTTCTTACGTGAAATCTGGCCAACTTTTAGTCATAGTAGGCTAGTCAATGTGGGTGTTGTTGACAAGTTTTTAAGCTGTCGTATATAGCTTGTCTAAAGAGCAATTTTGCTGAAACGACTGCATTGGAGTGCGAGAAACTGTCACGGTCACGGACCGAGTTGCGTGACCCAACCCATTTTTTTTTTATTGTTTTGTGTTTTTGTCTGTTTTGTTTTGCGTTGTTGGTTCCTTTCATTGGTGAGCGTGAGCGAGATAACAAGCGTACAAATTAATGTCAGTTGTTTCTTACACACTAGCCAGTGTGCTCCTTGCTTGGGTGCAGCTAGCTTTCCAGCTGTGCACATGTGTGACAATTAGGTTGTAGGAATGTCATTAGCTATTATACCCTTTATTAACCCTCGGCGCGCATGCGCAGCGAGGGTTACTGTAGTTACCCTCGGCGCGCATGCGCAGCCAGGTTACTGCAGTTGGGTTTGTCTGTCTGTCTGTTACTCTCAATCTCACTTCTCGAGTGTCTGTTCGTCTCACAAAGGATACGACCTACCTAACGGGCAATGAAGATCTGAAATTTCGAACAGTTTTCTCTGAAAATGCTCCGTTGCAGAGCTAGAGCGCTTCCGTCATTGTACGGCTGATGCGTAGTCGGCCATTTTTATCGCTGAGGAAAATGCGCATGCGCTTATATGGGTCCGCTTGCTCTGTGTATCTTGAAGGCACGAGAGGTCACAACGAAGGGCGTGTATCGACTCCCACATGCTCTGTACTACTGTAGCTAGGCCGTGTCAGACGCTATACTAGCGGGAGACCACGATAATACTACATTACTAATAGCAGCCCAGCCCATCAATTAGCGGTACCGCGCATGCCCATTTCGCCGAGGGTTTGCACTGTAGTGCTTTTCATTGGGTTTGTGTGTCTGTCTGTCTGTCTGTCTGTTACTCGTCATCTCACTTCTCGAGTGTTCGTTCGTCTCACAAAGGATACCACCTACTGAACGGGCAATGAAGGTCAGAAATTTCGAACAGTTTTCTCTGAAAACGCTCCGTTGCAAAGCTAGAGCGTGATAAAGCCAATAGGCTTACTATGGCATGATCGATCCGCGTGCTCTGCGTACCTCGGAGGCACCAGAAGATGCAAGGCAGGGCGTGTATCGCCTCTCGCATGCTATCTAGTAGTGTAGTTAGTCCGCGTCAGACTCTGCGCGTTCTGGCAAGAGACCACGAGTAACAGCTAACACTAAACCCAGCCCATCAATTAGTGGTACGGCGCATGCGTTTACTTACGCGTGCGCGTCACAGTGCGCCGAGGGTTTGCACTTCAGTGCTTTTCATTGGGTTTGTTTGTCTGTCTGTGTGTCTGTCTGTCTGTTACTCTCAATCTCACTTCTCGGGTGTTTGTTCGTCTCACAAAGGATACGACCTACTTAACGGGCAATGAAGGTCAGAAATTTCGAACGGTTTTCTCTGAAACTGCTCCGTTGCAAAGCTAGAGCGCGAAAAAGCCAATATGCAAATACGCAACGGACGGGATGGCTTACCACAGTTCGATCGATCCGCAGGCTCTGCGTACTTCGGAGGTACCAGAAGATGCAACGCAGGGCGTGTATCGCCTCTCGCATGCTATGTAGTAGTGTAGTTAGCCTGCGTCAGACTCTGCGCGAGCTGGCAAGAGACCACGAGTAACAGCTAAAACAAAACCCAGCCCATCAATTAGTGGTACGGCGTGTGCGTTTACTGACGCGTGCGCGTCACAGTGCGCCGAGGGTTTGCACTTCAGTGCTCTTCATTTACATAGTATAGTAATGATATATACTACATACTGCTGTATACTTCACCCATTTTGTTATGTACTATGTTGAACCATAGCTATTGTTTTTCTCCATTGTTTGCTGATCACAATCAAAAAGCACTGAAGTGCAAACCCTCGGCGAACTGCGCTTGCGCGATACCGCTAATTGATGGGCTGGGCCGTTTACTCGTGGTCTCCCGCTAGTAGCACACGGAGAGTCTGACACGGGCTAGCTACAGTAGTAGATAGCATGCGGGAGTCGATACACGCCCTTCGTTGTGACGTCTTGCGCCTCCAAGGTACGCAAATCAAGCACATCTTGTCGAGGTAAGCCCGTGCTAATTTGCATATTGGCTTCTTCACTTGCTTTTCACGGCATAAATTTTGAACGCGGTACTTTTACGAAAATCGCCAGATGAAGCCAGTGTAGCGCTGAACCCGTTGGTGTCGCTTTTTGGCCTGTTTGTTGCGCGTGGTGGCAGAAAACGTGGTAACAGACAGACAGACAGACACACAGAACGACTACCGTAACCCTCGCTGCGCATGCGCGCCGAGGGTTAATAAGCGTTGGAATGATGCGAGGGTAATGTACTTTTCTATGAAATTGAGCATGGGGTGACATTTCGTCCTAAGCGA